TGCAATAAAGTCTGACAACATTTTTAGTGCAGAGACTACGTTGGACCCCCTGTCCGTCACAAACACTAGTTGTTTTACTTCCTCTTCTGCTATTCCTAGTAAGGCCAATTTGCATCACAATTTGGGACCATTTGTTCTCTCCTAAGGCAGAATCAGCATCGAAATGGACAGTGAACGCAGTGCGAGCCTCGGGCTTTCCCCCGAGAGTCATGAACAATCACAGCGAGAAATGTAGCTTGCGGTTCTCTTGCGTCCACATGTCTGTAGTCGCTGCACAGGTGTTGTTAGTGGTCGCCTCTTGTACCCGTGGGATGAACTCCGATTTAATCTCACCTGCCATTTCTTCCGTGTTCCTACTGACAGTTGTGCGGTCAGGGGGAAGCCGGCGCGCATCCTCAGATTCAAATCCTACGTCAAGGAGATTTTGAGCGAGATCTCCAAACCCCTCTCCCTCGACAGATTGGAATGCGGCAAAATCCTTGGCACAAGGACACAGGACCTGCTTACTTGTTTCTTAGCTGGAGTGGACGGTGCAATCAGGGGTTCAGGTGGAGCTGCAGCACGTCCAGGTTCATCTTCCCCATCAACTACTTCTTCCTCTTTCCCGTCCAACCTGCGCTTCTCAGCTGCTTTCGCGCAAGGATGCTTCTTTGCGGTCGATGTCCCTACAAAATAAAAGCAAAGTAGCATTAGGGGCGGCTAGTGACTATTTGTTTATAACTTAACAACACTTTCCTTTAAAAAAAAAAAAAAAAAAAATATAATGAAAATGCTGCCCCTCTGTTCACTTCCACCCCGCGCCCCGCCCCGCGCCACCGATTTACTTCATGAGGAAATTGTCTTGAATCGTGACCAAACCGTAGGAGTCAGGATCGGCTTCGACCTTCCTACACAGATCTTGATACCATTTGTCATTTACAGTTGCAGGCAAATCAATCAATTCCATACTTGCATGCTCTGCAGGTGGATTGCTACTAAGGAGCGTCAGGCGCAGTCATGGAGCTACCTTCCTTGTGCACGACATCCATTTCGTACTATTGCATTTGGCACGCCCAGCAAGCTAACCGTTCTGATGGATTCTTAAGTTTGTGCAACCACAGCAAGCTACTATGATCGGTAAACAAAGTGAAGGTATTACCTTCAATATATAGGCGGAACGATTCGAGGGCGTGTAGGACTGCAAGGCATTCAAGTTCAGTTGCGGAATAATTGCATTCTCTTCCTTTGAGGCCGCGACCGGTGTATGCGACGACATGTACGCCGTCTTCGAAATCTTGAGCAAGAATTCTACCTGTTCCAATAGCTGATGCGTCTGTGTACACCTTGAATTCCTTGGAGAAGTCCGGAGTTCGCAGGACTGGAGCCGGGCAAAGTCTTTTTTTAAGCTTCTGAAAGGCGATGTCTTCACGCTCTCCCCACTTGAAGGGTTGGTCCTTTTTCAGGAGATCGTACAGGGGCCTTAAGATGCAGCTAAAATTGTGGACAAATTTTCTCATCCAGCCTCCCAGTTCAAGGACGCGCCCAGCGACCCCCC